GAATCACTCGGCCGTTAATGGCTTAGCGCGCATACAAGCGGATAGCTCAAAATGCGTAGAGATAACACGCCACTTGACTCGAAAGTGGCGTGTATGTTTATGCAAACGTCATGATGTCATGTTGGTACATTTAGTTGAATAATGGTATTAATAAATTAATAATGGAAACCTGTGAAGGCCCGTTCACACCAAGCACGATAACTATAAAGATAATGATAAAGATATAATTCTAAAAATCGTTCTCCATATTAAAGAATAACAGAGTTCACACCACAACTATAATGATAAAGATATGAGGAACGACATCGTTGGGATCACTTTCAGAACTATTTTTTTCCAGATGTCCAACGTTAAAACACTGACAACCAATCAGAATCCATTCTAATTTAAAGGTCTTGCGCATTTAAAATGGCAGATGAGAAGTTAATCGTCGAGATATTAATATCGTGGAAAAGAAAAGAGAATGGAGAATGGAGGAAGTGAATTAAAACAAGCAATTACATGAGAAACAGTTATTTTGATTATTTAAAGATTTATACAGATGGAGCCAAGAATAAACAGGAATGTGTGGGAGTTGGTATTCATATTCCAGATTTTAAAATAAATTTCTCCAAAAGACTAACTGCCCGATTATCTGTATATGCAGCAGAAATACACTGTAAAAATGTTTTTTTGGTGAAGTAAATACTAGTGAAAAAACCCAATGTAATTTACTTGAAAAAGTTAGTTCAGGCAAGAATTTAAAAAAAAACTAAGTAAATTCCATATCAGTACTTATTTCAAGCGAGTATAAATGAAAGTGTAATATCAACTCAATAAAATGAAGTAAAAATTACTCAACTTTTCTGATACTGGGGTTCCCATCATGCACTGGACCTTGAATAATTAATGAGGTTCATTTTTCACTGGTTTCCAGCTGTATTTACACTGTTTTATCATTGATTTTTGTTTTCAGTATTAGTAAATTGCCATTTTGTGACATTTCGAGTAAACTTTTTGCTTAAAACGACACATTCAAACACAAAAACGATCCATCAAATGTTACCACCATTGTGTATTGTCTACCAAGTATTGAGGTGTTTGCATTCACATAAGGCTTAAAGTCTGACATGATGTATATATAAATTACTTAGATGATCTAAGTAAAGAACATACTATAAATGACTAATAAAATTCAAGATAATTGTTTTAGTGAAATGTAATACAAAGGCAAAGGAAATCGGTATTAATCAACCTTTTACAAGCCGAGTTAAAATTACTTATTTTTTGTAAAGTTTACTTAATTCCACATTCCAAGTAAATTTAACTTAAAGATTTCTAATTAAAGCTACTGATAAATATGTTTAGGTTTTTACTTGGCAAATCTTTGTAAATGTACTAGCATTTTCTGAGTGAGATCGTTTAGCAAGGTTTTTTCAAGTAAATCCTACTCCAAATTTTTTACAGTGTAGTAGCAGTCATTATTGCATTGCAGTGGGTTGAAGAGGCGACCAGATAGGGTGGTAATATGCACAGACTCTTTAGCTATCATAAAAAAGCATCCAGTCAATGATATCAGTCAGAGAAGATCTACTAATAGAACTTTATCGTTTGTTAAGATTGCATCGGGGTGGCATAGATGTTCAGTTTTGTTGGGTACCAGCACATGAGGGGATAAAAGGGAACGAGATTGCAGATAAACTGGCAAAAGAGGCATTGCTAAAGGTAATAACAGTTACAATTCCACTAGGAAAAGGTGAAGGAAAAGCGGTGGTTAAGAGGAAAGGGCTTGAAATATGGCAGAAATGGTGGGAAGAAGATAGGAAAGGAAGGAAATATAATAAAATACAAAAATCTGTCAGTATTAAAAATTACATGGAAAAAAAAACAGGAGAAAAGAAAATTATAATGACAAGGCTCACACAGGACTAAATGGCACATTATTTTTAATGGGCAAAAGGAATAGTGAGAAATGTGAGAACTGTGGTGTTAAAGAAGATGCTGAACACATAATATTGTACAGTAGATTGAATGAGGTGGAAAGACGGGTGTTTAAAGATAATGTTCAGCAGACAGGGCGGGAGTGGAATCTGTTAGGGATACTGGGATCGGAAGGAGAGGGAGAGGATATAAGAATTACCAGGAAGACACTTTTTAAATTTTTAAAAGACACAACCCAGATAGCAAACTGACATTGAATCAACGTGGAAATATGACATCGAAACAACGTTGATCTGACATTGTTTTGCTCATCGAATTAACGTTGAACCAACGTCAGATGCGTCATTCTTTCAAAACTAACGGAAAATCAACTTGAAATCAACGCGTTGTTTCAACGTTATAAAGGCAAACCAATTTTCGATTTAATTTAGCTTTGAAGAATGCCGCGTCTGACGTTGGTTCAACGTTAATTCGATGAGCAAATCAACGTTGTTTCAATGTCATGAGAGACGTCGTTTCCACGTTGATTCAATGTCAGTTTGCTGTCTGGGAAGGTTGTGGAATAGAATTTAACTAATTATTAAATGACATGATGATACATACTCCAGTACAGTAGGTGGTAGTATGCACCTAAAAGTTGTTTGCAGTCCGCCATTAAGTAATAATAAGAAGAAGTTAATCGTCGAGGTACAAAAAAATCCTCCACTGTTTGACAGTCAAATCTTCTTTCAAGGATACGTTAAAAAAGATGGATACATGAAAAGCAATCGGTCGTATCCTGGGAATAAACGGTGAGAAGTATTCACAATGAGATATTAAGCAGTTTAGCATAGTGTAACACATTACCTCAGGTTAGGCTATCCAGCGCTATAGTTAACAATTGCTGAAGTTGCATTGAAAAAGGCATTGTATACATAAAGGTGTTGGGCGATGGTTTTATCCCATCATTGACTAAATCCACTGTTAGATATTACGCTAGACTTGCTAGATTCACTGTTTAGATGCGCTCCGAACTCTTTTTAGGATATCGTCTTTTAAGGATATCGTGTAAAGCGCCTGTTTTTCTTTTTCGCAAAGCAGCAGCAGCAGGTCATCCATTTTCGCTACTTTGAAACCGCAGCGTCGGCACGCGCATGCTTAGAATAAAAAGACTGTTATCGGTTGGTGTGGACGCATATATAGTTACCTTCATCGTTATCTATAGTTATCGTGCTTGGTTTTGGCCTTTATACAGATGTATATTCAGGGTTTGAATGCAGGTGAGAATGAACCATGGGTAATGCATAATCACTAGCCAGTTAGCGGGTTATGACTAAATTCCTATCACTTTGCATGTTGCTTAGGGGAGAAGCCTCCAACATTAGCGAAGCAAAGCATGAAGAGGGTCACACACTGAGAGAAGTGCCTTTCCATTACATGTCTTTAACCCAACACAGTCTTCTATGAGTGTGAGTGCGAGCATGATTCATACATGCATATGTTTCTTTTTTTTAACGACATTTCAAAATGTCATAACTGGATCTTCTGCTGAAATGATTTCTCTGGTGACTTATGCTTGTCTTCTCCAATCATTACAATCAACTGCAAGGTCTAGGCATTCAGAATAATCCAGCAGTGTTATTTTAATCATCATCTTTTTTTTTTTTCCACCAGTAGGCCACTAGCCCTATGTTTAATTTAAAATCGGTCCTTGTCAATGCACAAGGATCTCTGCAATCACCTTATAAAAGTAGATAATAATACAGTGAAGCACAAGATGTGTATTATAACGACAAGAGTATAACATGTTGTGAATTTTTTTGTGCCTTAGTTGCTTAGATTCTGCCCATTTTTACGGGAAGAGTCCTTCCACAACGAGATCAACACTTTCTGGCTAGCAGTAACAGTACAAGTTGCAATGATATGTTTATATTGTGTATAAAGGGTGTATGATTAATATTATTTAAGATTGGTCAATGGGGTTCAGTTTATTGGTGCTTACTCTTCAGCTTAACCTCATGCAGTTATTCCTTTTTAGATGTTTCTTTTTTCGAAAACATTGATACATTATTGATTATCTGTTATTTGTCTAGTCATATTTTGATAGACATATTTTCATGTCATATTTTTTGTCAACATTAAACAAAACACAACATTTTCTTTACAGTGTTTTAAATTAAAATATTTTCGTTATCTCCATGACAGAGACTGCAAACTCCCAAATTATTAAGTACTTGTTTTTGAGACCTTCCAGTACTCAAAATTAAGAACTGACAAATTTACCCATCCATAATTCAGATCTGCCTTCAATTGTGTCGCACAGTAGTACTTCCATCATTATGAGCTGATGGATGGGCAAACAAATCCAATATGTCTGACGAAAAATGGTGTCTATTTTTTTTTTAATTCTTTAAGAGCACTGTGATGATAGTTTTTAATGTGAAGTTCTTTAGTACACATCTAGAGTTCAAACACGACATGTCCTAAGACATGTTCACTGTACAGCCATACACATGAATCCCATTCCCCTTGAGTGGTCTGAGGAAGCCAGTCAGACACTACCAGTTCTAGTCATGTTTTTTATATGATTTGTGAATTTGGCTCTGGTATAAGTGGTCACGAACAGTAGAATGCCATTATAATTCCCATATCACAATATAAAACTGCAACAGCTGAGGCATAAAACAACACCCTACCAATTCCATTGAAGTCACCGGAGACGCTGCAGAGCAATATCCCACCAAACACATACTGCGGGCCCACTCTGATGATCACTTGATAGTGTGCTGACAAGCAAACTCTATTAAGCTGTCTTCAAATATGCAAAATGATATGATTTTACAATGATTACATATTCACTTCCCAGCTGGCTGGCTCTATGCAACTCCATTTGTCATTGACTATTGTGTCCAATTATATGATTAGCTCCAAACACTCCGCCACTTGGAGAGCTCTCGTGTGTTCCAGTGCACTGACTGATTCACAAACAAAGTCATTACAACATGTATTCACACATATCAAATAACAAACAGATGGCCATTGTGCGCTGGCTGATTTGTTTGTAACACGAGCGGCAGAAAAAAGGTAGTTTTTTGCTGGGCTTTGTTTAAGCACCGACTGTTTTATTCCCAGAGAGAGACATCTGGCTGCCGAGGCGGCTAAATCAACTCAAATGAAAGACAATCTTGTTTCCATTAATTTTTCCTATGGAAAAAGCACTTGTTATGAAGATTCTAAATTACTGAGAAAGCTTCCAGATAATTCATCACATAGAAGACTGCAGTTGCTCAGAGAGTGTCTGTCTCTAACTTGATGTGTGTGTGTGTGTGTGTGTGTGTTAATGTTTGCAGTGCACATCTTACAGTAGTATGATATTGTTATTTTAGGCAAATCAGTCTGTCCATGACAGGAACTGAAACAATCATTTTGCTGATTGTATAAAGTTTCCCCAAAAAGTATTTGTACAAATAAGCCACATTAAAAATATCAATTCAGCTGGCATCTGCAAACAAATAATGCTAGGGTTGTCCTCAGAATAAACTTCACTTGTTCAGTTGTTTTTAACAAACTAGTCACAAAGGCATTTTTTTTTTATTGGATGTAGCCTATGTATGAAGTTAGTTCCCCTCAAGTTAACACAGGTGTCCCCTAGATAGCAGAAAAAGCACGAACTTCATCATATCAAAGTCTATTTGAGATGGAAGTTGTGCTAGTAAATTTTTCAGGCTACTATACATTTGGATGTAAGAAATGTATATACATTTAAGAGCTTTATAAACTAGTTTCAGAAACATATCTACTGCTGCTCCAATGCAAACAGCTTCATTGTTCATCCAAACAGGTCCCACCCAGAAGTTGTCATGCCAGACTACTTAAAACAGCAGTTTTAAGAGTGGGTAAATTAAAGGGTTATTAAAAAGGGTGATTTAAAGGGTTAGTTTACCCAAAAATTTCATTTCTGTCATCAATTACTCACCCTCATATGATATATCATGTAGATATTTTTGATGCAATCTGAGAGGTTACATTGTGCCCCAAATGGGCAACAACATCATTGCATCTTTCAAGGCCCAGAAAGGTAGTAAAGACATTGTTAAAATAGTCCATGTAACTACAGTGGTTCAACCTTAATGTTAAGAAGACTTTATTTAAAAATGTCTTCTCTTCTGTGTCCGTCTTTTATTTTGTTCACCAGAAGTTCAGTGCTTCTGGGTTATATGTCAGAATGACAGCCCATTATTAGCCGACGCTGTTCATGTGATTAGAAATTTCATTTTTGGGTGAACTAACCCTTTAACAGTAGACAGTACAAAAAATATACATGTATGAAATTGAATAATTATGCTTAATCAAGTGAAGTGCAGGGTATCCATTAGGTATATTGGTATTTGATGCATAACAGGTCCAGAGTTGACTTTAAAATTGATATGAACGTATAAGCTCCATGATTAGTCACAAGTGGTCACTATGGGTGGGGGTGGGCTTCACTTTTTTATAATAAATGGTCCTGCAGTGAGACATGCACTTTAAAATTGCAAATATTCAATACAGTCTCTCAATTAATACGCCACAAAAGCTTCAAACATTAATAATAATTACAACAGAATGAGAAAATAAACAATTTTAGAAGGAATATAGCATGTCACCGCATGATTTATCAGCTTCTCAAAGAATAAATCAGTCCACCAGTCACAATAAAAGGAAGATTAAAGAACACAAAGAGAAAATCTTATTTGAAAACATCACAATCTAAAACTATCAGCAGATATAATGCCACTTTCAAGTAATTTGTTTACATTACATGATACCACCTAATGGTGATATTGAGACAAAGCATTGTGATGATATAGCTAAATGTGCCCTGGTCAGTAGTGCCACCTGCTGGTGCCTTACACAGCAGCGGTCAACCACGTTTAATAAGGGGAATACCCAACACAGGACATTTTACATGTCTCCTTTGTATGACTCACATTTCAGGCCTTAAAATCTCTTCCAATGAGCTGATGAGTTGAATACAGTGTGTTTGATTAATATAAGGAGACATGCAAAATGTGTAGTATTAAACATGGTTGGGAACCAACAGTTCAAGTTTAATGTTGCGCTCTACCGAAGGCCGGTTTGGTTTCATTATGATCAACTTTTGTTAAAAGAAAAATGGTGCAGAATGTTTTAAATTAGTATTCTAATCACATATATTTGATAACTACATTCTTAAAAATAAAGTGCTGCTATGTAATTTAATAACCTTTTCCCTTTTTGGGAAATTTTATGCGCATTACATTCCACACTGAAAGGTAGTATCTCGTTTTACACTTCTGAAAGGACCAAATATCCTAGTATGCACTCCTTTTGAACTAACCTCATCAAAGACATACGCTGTTTCTGAAGATCATACTACTAGGTATGATATGAAAGCATGCTTGCAAGAGAGTTACATGTTTTGCACAGATTGTGCTGAGACTGCAAAGAAAGTTTTACAAAGGGAACTATTTCAAACACCTTGCTGTGATTATGCAACAACATTCCCAATTTATATATATATATCGTTTTAAAAATAACAGACACAGCTTGCAGCATGAAACACAGCAGCTCAGATCAGTTTGTCCCCTTGTTCACACATGCACAAGTGAATTAGTGATGGGTGGTGATGCATATACGGCAGCAAATCTAAAAAAAAGTTTAACTTCATGCAAATGAGCAATGATTCATTGCAGCCACTACCAATGAAGTTACTTATGTGGTTCATCTCATGTGAGTTAACTGCAGACAAGAAGTTACTGTTACTGTGAGCAATATCACTATTTAGAATGATTTGTTTCTGCTTGGAAAACATAATTTAGTTTGACTCATGCATTGATAATCGTTCATCTTGTTCTGCAATTGGAATCTTGTTCTGTAATTTAGTTACAAACATCGTGTACATTGTTTTTGTCAGCTGTGGTATTATTGTTCAGATCATGGCACTGGTCAGGTTGCTGATTGAGCGAATGCTGTTGGTGTGACGGCTCTTCCTGCGAACGCTCCTCAGGTAGTTCCTGTACAAGATCACGCTGATCACACGGTCCTGAAACTGCTTGGACACAATGTAGAAGAGTATGATGTCCAGCACTGTACTCGCATTCATCAGGAAGGTGGTGAAGGCCCCCCAGGTGTTGTAACCCTGCCCACCACTGGCCAGCAGCATGGAAACAAAGCAGATGTGGAAAGGCACAAAGCACACAAGCACTTGAATAATCAGTGTGATAATGATCCTGATGGACTTCTGCTTGATTTTGGGCTTCAGTTTGGACGTGCGGCCGTGGATAAGGTTTTCTACGATGATCATGTAACAGCCCACCATGATGCTTACCGGCACCAGGAAGAAGAAGATGATACGTGCGAAGTGGACGGGATTGTCACGGCGCAAGTAGATGATGTCGTGCATCTTGATGCAAGTGGTATAGTTTGACTTACGGTCTGGGTCTTCTTCCAAGAAGATGAGCGGAGCCGTGCTGCCTAGGGTCATGATCCAGACTCCTGCACAGGACAGCAAGGCTTTGCGAACACTTTTTAGTTCTCTGGTGTGCCGCGGCTGCACTATGGCCACATAGCGATCTGTGCTAATGAGAGCGAAGAGCCACAAGGCTAGGCAGGGATAGAGCACTGTTAGTGCTGCGTTAATCCTGCAGAACACGTCCCCGAAGGGCCAGTAGTCTTGACTGTAGTAGACAATTCGAAAGGGCAGCAGTAAGATAAATACCAGGTCCACTAAAGCAACATTGATCATGTATACGGTGATGGAGTTCCGTCTTTTAGTGGTCAAGGCAAAGACCCAGAGAGCGGTCAGGTTGACCACTATGCCTATGGTGAAGATAATGCCATAAAACACTTGGCTAACAGTCCGGTACACTTTTGGGACGTGGCCCTCCATATTGGCGGTCAAAGATGTGTTATGATCCATGATGGTTTACCTGATTTGACCATAAAAAAAACAACAACAACAAAAAAAAAACAATAAAAAACAGGGTTTTTCCATGTTTTTAATTATAGAAGCCTTACAATTTTTAAAAACAAGGTAACAGACCTTAGACCTTACCTTACTATAGCGCCAATATTTTATTTTTGGCAAAAATAGATGTACAGTGGGTTCAATGGATTGCAGTGATGTTTAAAGTGCCCCTATTATGGCAACACGCAAAAGAGGTTTTCCCCTAGTGTTAGATATTACGCTGTACTCGTTCCCTCTTCTACAGAGAATCAAGTAACCGAGTACGTTTTCTATTGCGACTTTACTGTACATCTCACAATTTAAGCTTTATATCTAGTAGTCGTGTTCTGTTTATAATACTTGTGACCAAATATCTTGCAGTTGCGACTTTATTTCTTACAATGTGTCTTTACATTTTATTTGGTAACGTTTTAGATTACAGCCCGGAAAGTACTGCGTAATTAAATCAATTTTACAGTGTAACCTTCTGTAATTATAGTGTATAAAGTTCTTACAATATAAGTTTAAGGGAACTATATTTTAAGTTTGGGTAACAAAGGGATAACAACCAGGGCCCGGTTCCCCAAAACGTTCTTATCTCTAAGTAGTTCTTAACCTATTCCTTAACCTCTCTCTTAACCTCATGGCACGATTCCCGACACGTTCGTACGCTAAGTATATCTTCTGTAAGTCACACTTTCGTAAGGTTGGTCTTAACCATTCGTAAGCTCTCTCTTAGTGTTGTTAGAGGTAAAGACGCTAGTTGCTGCCACTATGCAGCAGTCTTCGCAGTAAGTCAAACTATGTTATGTTGAAAATGTTGTGGCTCGACAATAATTTTGTGTTATGGACATTTTAATTATACATTTACTTCTCTTTAATAGTAAAATATGTTCACAATGGATTTATGAAGTTGAATGCCTATTTATGAAGTTGACTTTATTTGGTATCAGAACTAATATGGTGGTAAATAGACTAGGCTATTTCATAATGTCACTAAATAGGCAATCACTTTTGATAATTAAAATCTGGCAACAATTTAGCTCTAAATTGCTGAGATCTGTAAATGGGTTAGCATGGTGGTGTCCAATAATAAGTGTGACATTGCAGTCTGTAAATTAAAGTGGTGTTTGTTACCCTCTTGTTCCATGTAGTTACAGGGTAAGTGTGACATTGCGGTCTGTAAATTAAAGTGGTGTTTGTAACCCTCTTGTTCCATGTAGTTACTGGGTATTGTGGCATTGCAGGCTGTAAATTAAAGTGGTGCTTGTTACCCTCTTGTTCCATGTAGTTCCATGTAGTTATTATATCACTGTCTCGGAAACCTTTATTTCTTATACAAGCACCACTCACCCTGTAACCACATGAAATAAGAAATATTTCCCAGTATTTAAAAACAATTACAGTAGTCTTAGCTTTTCTTGCCTTGAAACATGTAAGCCCAAACTTAAACATCTGCACCTTTGCAATAAAAAAAGTGTAATGCTTAGATATGTACCCTGTGATTTAAAAAAAAAAAGCAGATAATGTATGTATTGGTACACAATTATTACAAAAAGGTGCGCAGTGTATGTTCTCGCTAAATTGCTCCCAAATGTAAGATTGTTCTCATAATAATAGAATAAGTACCCCTTAGTTCTATTATACATATTTAATTCTCCTGGTTGTTACCTCTTTTTTCCTCAAACTTTACATATTGTTCTCTTATACTGTACATGTACTTAAATGTAAGTACTTTATAGGTGCACTATAATTACAGAAAGTTACTCTGTACATCTTTTTTTCTATTTACTCCATTTAATCACTTTTTCTTCATTTGAATTTGAGGGTTTGTAAAAAAAATTATCAAAAAGTCATCAAAAAGTCTTAAAAAGAGAAAGGAAATTTTGAAATAAAATTCTGAAGGCTTCTGAAATATGAGTTTTAAGATACAAAAAAGTAATAACAAAATGTTGACTGTTAATCAATATAGTGCACCACTTGAAGGAAATAGGAGGAATGCTACTTTTACAATTCTCAAACATCTGTGCAGTGTCAATGTACATACTGCTGATAAACAGCCTCCTTGTTATTAGATTAACTTTGTATAAAAACACAATTGACTTACAGCATTGTCTTCAGATCTGATTGGCTGTTTTTAAAACCTATCGTGTTTTTTTATTATTATTTTTTGTTCTACAAGATGACAAAGTAAAACATTTAAAGGTACCTACCTCAGAGATCCATGTTGTTGGCATCGTAACTGCTCTGAGGGCTGTACGGCTGATGACTGTAATAATGTACTATCTCTGCGGAGCTTCGATCTAAAATAGAGGAAGTAATGAAGCCAGTGTCTTTATTTAGATTAGAATTTTTCTTTTGGTTTCTGTGAAGCCCCTTCACTTCCTGTAATATGCATGTACTGGTGCAGAATACATCTCAAAAGCAAACTGTATGTCATATGCCGTTTGAGAGCGGTGGAGCTGTGTAAAGATGTGACAGGTTTGGGTGCTGGTTATTGATTGGGAAAATAGGGTTTGTCACACAGCATTAGCTCTCTTGGGAGCAGCACACAGCAGGTGGCAACAGAAGGCATCTGGTGTTGAAGAGTTTTAATTAAACACAGGATGCTGAGGTTGTTGGTGTATAAACAGGAAATGAGATCTTTATGTAGGCTTGAAATGGCAGCTCATCTTAAAAATCACGGAACAAATAAGTAACTAAAGAGGTTACTTTAATATGATTGTTGTCTGATACATTTTTCAGGCATAATTATGAAAAGAAACAGCTTTGTGTGAAGAGTTTTTCATGAAGAAAAAATATTTTATTATGGCTGCCATTTTTGGTCTGCATTTTGAAAATAAAATAAATGAATAAATAAACTTTCTTTCTTTTAAGGAACGAGTCAAACTTCATGTCAACTTTTTTTATGTTGGTGAACTATTCCTTTAATAACTGCTGTTGTTGTACTGACACACACACACACACACACACACACACACACACACACACAAAAACCCAACAAATGATGTGTTCCAGCTGTGACATTCAGCCGGAAGTTAAATACCAAATGTTAAAGAAGTTACTTTAAAAACATCAACACTGTAATCTGTGTGGAACATTCATATTTTCCATCATTACGGTGGGGCCATGATCTCCATTGTGAACTGTTACCTCTAATATTCGTACCAATGTGACACCTACGCTGTACATTGGTTGATTCATTCACCCTTTATAACGCTGTCTGACATTTCCTCTGTTCGACAATCGCCCACATCAGGAAGTTACTAGTTTTAACTTACCCATATGGGGACAAACACAAACAGTCTGTGTTCACATGTCTACAGTAGAAACCTTGGGATTTTTTGTAAAGATTGTTGTGAAAGATTAGAGAAATGAACTTTAGGCCTGTGCAATGAGGAATGTCTGAGTGCACATAATTTATTTTTTTCGGTTCCTCCATATTACAAAAAAAGGGAAGGGTGACCAAACGTACTATGAAGTATTATAGCAATAATACTTTTTTGACAGTTATATCCTGTGCTCAGATCTGTATGATTATAAGCACCATAAAGGAATGTATTGGATATGAGTACAATATAAGCAAGAACAGGCCTTAAAAGCTAAAAACGTTTTCTCCAGAAGATATGAGTGACAACGGTTTTATATTTAGTCTTAATGATTTCATATGCCATTGTCATAAAGGGTATTATACTCTAGATTCTAGAGAAGTGAATATTATAGCTCTAGAGAAGTGATGCCTGTAATGACTTAATCTCATTTTGTAGACTTGCATGGACATTTGAGATAGAAACTTGTCAAGGCCTTACCCATGAGAAGTCAGATTGAGTCTGAGTCAAGATGCTTGTCCAAATATGGTCCTAGACTGAAACACTGTGATCGGAGCTGTCATATGTATATGTGATACATAGTATGGCCATTTCTTTTTTAATAAGTTGATAAGTACCTAATTAAGAGAGGTAGGCTAAATGGGTAAACAGTGGGGGTGTGGCGATACATTTTGCTTACTAGTCGAGATCATACGATACTGAGTTCAGGAGAACGAGGCAAAAACGTTTTCAAGAACCCTTCAATGACGAAATATATGACTGGGTCTGGACAGTTTTTATTCGCATGAAGTCACAAAATGCAAAACAATGCATTTTGAAATGTTTTAACTAATCACTTAGACTGTTGAGTTATTGGTTGATTATTTTGACGATTAATCACTAAAATAGAGTGAACAATAGCCTTTAAAATACATAGCTATATAATAACAATGAGACAATAATTGGTTCAAAAGCAAATAATCATGGTTTTATTAAATAACACTGTTAAAATACATAATGTACTGTAAAAGAAACATTATCAACTTATACACATTAGGCTATGTATTATAACAAATGCCTGCAGAGGGTGACAAAGGTCTGGTGATTGTTGTTGTTCCACATCAAAATGAACGAATTGAGTCATTTGGTTCATTCAACGAGCGAAATGAACAAATTCACTCGGAAAAAGATTTGTTCATTTTGATGAACGAGTTCGAACAGGAGAGTCACAAACGCACATCACAGAACAGAGCAAGGCGAGCATTTGAGCTTATAAAACTTAAACTTTGTTATTTATTTTTTAAATGAGCAATCGTTTCGCTTGAAAAGACCCTTATTTATCGTCTGGAATCGTTTAAAGCCCTTTGAACAGTTTGCAGTTTGCATTGAAACTGTCTTTTAGACCTTGAACCGTTTGGTTACCAGTAAAGTGCATTATATGGAGAAAAATCCTGGAATGTTTTCATCAAAAACCTTAATTTCTTTTTGACTGAATCTTGGATGACATAGGGTGAGTAAATTATCAGCAAAAGTTTTTTTTAAAGGAACTAACAGTTACTCCTTTGAATGCATTGTGTCTTTTGTGATAGCATTCTATGAAGGTTTAATACGATGTGGAATTGTGGATTAACTTATCTTAGCTAACAATACGTTTCTAATCATGCACCAAATAATACCCCAGACAAGTACTTTGATCAGCCAATTGTTATTTGAGACTCAACCTCTACAGTTGCTGAGATGCAATTATTTACAAACTTTTAACTGTTCCTGACAGTGGATCTCTAGGCCTTCATGCAAAAGCTGACAAACTGTTTCCCCTTTCCTGTAAAAAGAATCAGTTCAAAGAGGGTTGAAGCAACACAGCAGTTTCCGTCCATTTTTGCAAAGTTTAGCTAACCACAATTCTTCTCTGGGGTCTTTGTCAAGACACATAACATTGGTATTCAAACTTTTCCTGTTTTTGTCTGTGGTGTCACTAATTTCACAAATCACTCGTGTCACTAGTCTTTCACATCCCTTCTGAAGACTATTTGGCTAGTTTTCATACCAAGCATTTTGATGCAATCCAGAATCTAACCACTTTCCATCACCTTACCAATCACAATAAGTGCATTAAACATTTACTGCAATTGTATGAAAAAATTATTTTTATTCAGTTTAGTACAGCAAGCAAATTATTCTCACCGTGTCTCTAAGCAATATTACCATTTGTTTTTCATTATAAACTAACTGAACACTGAAATGTCAATTTAGTTCCCTGTGTAAAGAGGAAGAAGTGACATGTTTTTCTATTCATGAACTTGACTTTTTGCTTTATGTCTCCCTCTTATGGCTCTTTGTTGTAAATGCACTGAATTTGACATGGCTGTAAGATCATGGTCAAGAAAATATCGAACCTGTGTGAACCTGTGTCTGTGTGAATCTTATGTTCTCTTTATCTCCAGGATTATTATTTGATATAGTGCATGTCAAGATTTGTTTTGTGCTCTTTTTCTTTATTATTATTATTATTGTATTTGTTTTTGTTTTTTTAGCTGTTGGCTACACGAGTCCTGCTTAAAAGGCTGGTTTGCTGGTCCTTTGTGGTTAAAGATAGTTTAGCTGAGAACCGTCTGGTTTCCCAGCTGCCTAAAGCCCATCTAAAACTAACAAAAGCACTTTATAACAAGACTTTATAACAAGTTACTAGAACTAGGATAGTGGTTTTTCCCTTGTGCACCCCCTTTTGGACCACAGAGATACTGCATTGTCTGCAAATAATTACAGATTTGGTCAAAATAAAATATAAAAAAAAAAATAATAAAAAATCTTATATCACACAATATGAGTAATTTTATTTCACAATAACGATATATATCACAATATAGTTATTTTTGCTTTAAATAAGGTTATGATATCAAAAATATTGAAATCTCATAATTCATATCGCCATTTTCAATATCATTAAAAAAAAAAAATCAGTACTAGCCTAAAAAACTCTCAAGCTTACTGAAGACAAGTAAACATTGATAAATGAAATAGACCTACATGAAAAAAACATTAAAAGGAAAACTACATGTGTATAAAAAACAAAAACAAAAAACAATGCATAGTTTTTGCTATGTACATTGAATATACATTCATTCTTATTACAGGTACAAAAATGATTCAATCAAGAGCAGTGAGAGATTGTGTCATTTTTGTTGTTTGAGTATATTAATAATGACAGCAGGTAAATTTGGATACCGTCACTTCAAGACCAACTGCACGGATTGTGCTTTTTCTTCACTTAATACATTATCAATAAATTATACCTACAAATACATGGTCACTTTGACACACCGTGTGTATTTAACCGTTCAAACCCATTTAGGCATCAAAAAGCACTTGGCATCAAAAAGTTCATCAAAATGTTTTTTACGCAGCGGCTTCATCAGTTCAGTTCTCTTTCGCTGCTAATTGCGCTTCAATGGTTTAAAATCACTTGTTTTTAAACTGCAATACTTAAAAATTCATGTAAACGATATACGTTCTTGACCATGCAATACAATAGTTTAAAATATACCGGTTGACAAATTTTTACCGGTTAATCGTGTATACCGGTATATCGCTCACCCCTAAATCAGTATAGTCAAGTTCATGTGTTTAGTTGGTAGAGGTTCACCTACTATTTAAATGGATAATGTCACACTTGATTGTCAGTGTGATTGTCAAGTTTATGGAACGGAGGCACCTATGCTAGGAAGAACCAAGGTACACGATTGTTTTTTTAGGGGGGTTGTTATGATTGTTCACTTCTATGTACTGTCTACTCTGCTATCCTAATCTTGAATGTGTTATTCTCTTTAAACTCGGGTAAAATCACAAAAGCACCTTTAAATGATGAGATTTCTGTGAAAAACAGTGACTGATGGGATATCACTGAATGAATCAGTGATTGATTTTGAGTTTATTTCTGACAGGAATCTCATTCTGTGGAATCACAGATTAGAATCACCTGGTTTACTGTTTCTTGGTATCTTACCGAGTGCTTTTGCTCATCATTTCACTGTAGGTGTTTTTGTTATTTGAACTATTTTCTTCATACTGAAATGATCTAATGAAAAACTCCAGAACAAATTCTATCACGATCTAAGACAAATGTGCAATAATATTTAAACAGCATCACAAAATAGTATCTACACTGAGAATCGATAACTTGAAACATAAAAATAATAATCCAGAGAGGTATAAGAAATGTGTTGTTTTAAGTCTCACAGTCACTCAACTGCATTTCTTCTTGTTATTTATAGTTCAAAAGCATTGCTGCCATTAGTCACTCAATAGCACACTGCTCCTCTCTTTCTGACTGCTTCTTAAGCTCATGTGGATTTTGTCATTCCCAAACACGTCTTTGGAGGAGCCTTCGGGAGAGGTCCTGACCACGCTCGAGAAGGACATGCTGACTTGCTTTCTGAGCAGTCTGAGTACCTTCTTCTTGTATCCTTTGCAGGCAAAGAAGTAGATGAAGGGGTCGAGGCACGAATTGAGATTCATCAGACAGACGGTGATGTGAAGCGAGATCTGAAAGTCGTGCAGTTCTGAGCAGTCTGGCTCGTACCGCAGCTTTCTGATCATGTACTGCAGGAGGTCGATGTGGTATGGACTGTAGCACACCACGAACACCAGAATGACGGTGCAAATCACGCCGATTGCTTTACGACTGCGACCCGACCTCTCTGTCAGTTTATTGGATTTGGCCAGGATGCGGAGCTTGGAGCACAGTGCCGAATAGCACACCAGGATGATTACGACAGGAATGCCGAAGCCGAGCAACACGGCACCGATGAGCATTACGGGCAGGTTGTCGATTTTCTCAAAGTTGGGATACTCCATACATGTTATGTGACCACTTTGCTCGTTGTTCGTCATGGGCATTGACAGCAAAGGCAGTGTCTGCATCAACACCATGACCCACACGCCCACACAAATGTACCGCACCTTCTGAACCTTCCGGAAGCGTGAGAAGCGCAGCGGCAGCACCACTGCAATGAAACGGTCCACGCTCAAACAAGTCATGAAGTTGACGCCAGCGTACATGTTGATGTAGAACAGCAGAGCCACGGCTTTGCATAAACCCTCCCCCATTGGCCAGTGAAATCCCATAGCGTAGTAAACCACACGCAAGGGCAGAGCTAATGAAAACAAGATGTCTGACACCACCAGGTTGGCTGAATACAAAGTTGTGGAGTTGATTTTTTTAAAATTAGGCCAAATGACATGCAGAGCCAACACATTGCCCAGCAGTCCCAAAATGCAAATCAGGGAATACATTGCAGGCAGGAAATACTGTGCCCAACCACGATGGTCGTACAGGTTGGGACAGATGTCAGAGTCATTGCCAGTTGAGTTTGTAGCTGCTACCATCTTCATGGGGTCAGTTATGAGATCTGAAGAAGGAAAACAGATACATTACTACAGAACTGAGATATCACAATCAATGCTTCTATCAGGTTTCATGGTGTTGTTTCAAAAGGGAAGTGTAACCCTTTTGTGTCCGTTTTTTTACACGGGCAGAAATTGCAAAGGAAACTTCTCAAGCCACCTGCAGTTTCAAAGCACTTGCTCACCCCCAAACTCAATACGATGATGTTTTTATGATCGACTCAAATTATTTTAACGCGTTTGTGCGGAAGTTTGAAGTTTTATGTCAATCATCAGCGAAAACGTCCTGACGAGCACTGTGCTCCATTGGAGCAGCAAAAGGTGTTTCCTGTCAGTCCTACAACTGCCCGAATTACCCTCACAAAGACCTTGACTGCAAGAAAAACATGTCTGGGTAGAAAACAATTCTCTGTGATAGGGTAATGGTGATTGTGTAATGGCTAGTGTACTTCTGCAAAGCCAATAACTGTGTTTATGGAGTATATTTTAATTTTATTTCAATTGTAAATCCAAGTTTTGCATTAAAAAACAGAATATACTGCTTTAGTGTGCTGCAATAATTAATATTTTTTTCCACTCTTTAGTTGTAACCTTGCTATTCATAGATTTAATCACGATTCGCAGTATGTTAATGAGTCAGAAGTAGGATCTTTTCATCCATGTTCCAGTACACTCAGTACTCACATGCTCTGAAGCAACACAGCAAACTAGAATGGATATTTCCATTGTATTCGCATTCATCTTTTTACTTATACTATACTATGGAAGCTGAATATATATGTACACACACACACACACACACACACATATATATATATATATATATATATATATATATGTATATGTATATGTATATATATATATATATATATATATATATATATATATATATATATATATATATATATATATATATATATTATATATATATATATATACAAAGTCTGAATACTTCAAAAAAGATTATTAGAAAAGCATATGTACTTACCAACACTTTTTTTTGTTCCAGTTTTTGTGCTTCTGTTTTGTCAAGCGGTCTGATCATGGCAGTGTCAAAAGTGGCACCTCCTGGTCCGGCATTAACCACGTTTTCAAGCACACCCCAACTGAGTGATGAAATACTATATCCAGCCTGCTTTTGTAACCATGACGACGGACAATTTCCTGTATTGCTGATGAAGATCGGCCCATTTCTCTTTTTCTCAGTATTTTTCATTTGAGTGAGGACCTCTCACTGCCACGTGCTAATTGCCATCCTACACGTGTTCCACTGTGGTTTCAGAAAAAGTGAAACTCTTCAGGACTTAATAACCCTTATTATTGGTTACTCATTTGGTATATATAAATATATTTATTATTGTTATTTTTAAAACATATTTATATACATGTATTTATGAGCAGGAAAGAATCTGGCTTTGTATTTTTATATGTGAAATGGGATGTTACATGTTTCATCTGTTTAAATAAAATGTGTGATTTTGATTCTTTATGATGTGTTTTGCAACATTAATGAGTGTGACAGCAGTTGTGAAAGTGCACAGTTCTTCGTTCTATTGTTAGAAGCTTTTGAAAGACTTCCCTGTTCAGTTCGAATCATCCTAGTATGCACCTGTGGGCATTTACTACAACCACTTAAAACTACATTTCGATGAATCAAAGAACACTAATGCCTGCTTTGTGGTTGTACTTACCTACAGTAGCTGTTCAGACGAGTAGTAATGTGTGGCGTAAAGGTTGAGAATACAAGTTGCATTCCATGATTTTGTTCTTCACAATTTCTAATATCAAATGAAACAGTGTATATGACTGGATTTTTCTAAATGTCTTGTATATTCCTTAATAACGAGGATGTATAATCTCAGTAATACACATGAGATCAATGATAAAGGACAAAGACAGCCACAAAAGAATAAAATAATTATTTTTAAATTAACGGTGTTTAAAATACTTTCAGAGCTTACTTTTATGAAATAGAAATTGAAAAGGTTATTTCCGACCACTGGTTGCTGCTGTCACCATGGCTTTTCAGAGGATGTGGCTTTTGAGAAATCTTTCTTATTTCTGCTAAATCTTCACTCCTTATGCTCATGGATGGTACAGCTAAAGTAAAGCAATGACTAATTTATTCCTGTGAGTTTACCTTTTACTTGCATAGATTTGTGGTTGGTTAGACAGACCATTTTATATATTTGCACAAAAAAAAGTCTCTAAAATATGTGTGTATTTAAAATATCACTGCTCAGCTCTTAAATGTGAGATAAACAGGTGATAAACAGTAAAGATTAAATAGGCCGCTTCAGATTCTGATGTCTATGGGTTGACCCCTGTTCCAAAAGCACTGTGGCACCTGCCGCTTCTGCACACCCGAGGTGACAACTCAAAAACGAATTTGTCAAAAGTGTTAGCAATCACCCCTCACCTCAAGGGAACTGCATATAAAGCTGTTAACTATTTCCCGATGATGTTTTTTTTGTACGTCTCAGGGTGTTTTTCACACCCACCGAGGGCTCCAGTACTGTAACTCTTGAACTTACGCTGTGACTTAGTCATATTGTTTCATTGGCATATTTAATTATTTTAGCTTTCTTTAGTTGGGAAGGTTGTAATTTTGAACCCATCATGGGTTGGTCCATAAACCCCTTGAGCATGACATGACTCTTCACTTTATATTACTGTTTAAAGATTGAATATATCAAAAGTGTGCTGTAAGTTACTTTGGATAAAACACTCTATGTACTAATCTGTACATCTCTTAGTGTTTCATGAGCCAGCGTCTGAGTCTGTGTCTGAAAAGAAGAACAGGACAGTGTGTGACTTGATGAGTCAAACACACATGAAAAACCAGACAGAGTGTGTCTGCTTGACTATTTAACTCAGAGCCGATGCTTTTAAAATCATGTAGACATATTTGTTCCTGTTAGAGTCGTGGAAAAAAACAAAATGCCAATATAAATATTTTATAATAAATGCCTTGCTGCATTTTTGTCATGACAATATCATTTAGGCCACAAACACCACAGAGACTGGCAAAATGACAGTTGAATTTGTTTGATATCATAAGCAGACTTAAAAAGTTTCAGTTTCAACTCATAGCAAAAGAGAGCTCCGTATTTTGAGTGTCAGCAAAGCACTTTTTGTTTTGCCCTGACTTATTGACACAGAATCAGTTTAAGTTTAAAAGACAGTCACCTTATAGTGAGATTCTTCTAAAAGACAATACAGACGATGATGATTCTTTTCTTGAAATTCAATGCAGGTTGTATTGAAATATGATGCAAATTCTCTGCTTTTAAGTTATCTGGGACAAAGGTTAACCGTTTGGCATTATGTTGTTGACTTTATCTTGCTGGTCAGTGAATGCATGCGATAGTGTCAAGGACTTGTTAGTGAGTAAGAGGAAATTCATTTCAAACCCAGCTGGTCAAACAGCTTAAAGGAGTAGTTCACTTTTTTAAAAAAATACTTGCTGATAATTTACTCACCCCCATGTCATCGAAGATATCCCTGACTGTCTTTCTTTCTTCAGTCGAAAAAAAAATTAAGGTTTTTGATAAAAACATTCCAGCATTTTTCTCCATATAATGCACTTTACTGGTAACCAAACGGTTCAAGGTCCAAAAGACAGTTTCAGTACAAACTGCAAATTGTTCAAAGGGCTTTAAATGATTCCAGACGATGAATAAGGGTCTTATCAAGCGAAACGATTGTTCATAAAAAAACAAAAAAAACAAAAAAAAACAAACAAAGGTATTCATTTGGTTCGCGTGACATCACTGTAGCTTTGCGCCCCCATCTTTGCGACCGATAGTCTCAATAATTCCTGCAATATGTTGTGCAGCAGTTAGCTGCAACAACAGCCAAAAGAGGAACCCTGAACTGGTATTTTATTCTATACCAAAAGAAGAGAGAAGAGAAAATACATATATATTTTTTTTCAAATTACTTGAAGTCTCATGTTGCTGGTTTGTGGTTAATTATATTTCTATTATAGCCTACTCTCAGTGGCCAACATTATACAAACAGATATCAACAGATAATGTTTTTTCTTCATTTTATTTGTTGGATCTGTTTAAATGCACTTTATCAAGTTATTAGATTTGGGGTTATTTTAAACATAACTGTCTGTCTGTAATCTAATAAATATTTTTCATTTAAAGGGTTAGTTCACCCAAAAATGAAAATTAAGTCATTATTACTCACCCCCATGCTGTACCAACCCCGTAAGACCTTGTTCATGTTCGGAACACAAATGAAGATATTTTTGATTAAATTTGAGAGCTAGATCACTCCTCCATAGACTTCGTAAGGGACTAGCACTTGACGGCCCATAAAGTCATTAAAGAAAATGTTTCAATATTCCATGTGCCTACAGCGGCTCAATTATAAGTTTATCAAGCGACGAGAAAACTTTTTGTGCGAAAAAAAAACATAAATAACGACTTTATTCGACTATTCCATTACTTCCTTATGGGCCTTGAGACGAGAGTTGAAGAGATTTCCAGAACGCATGCGCGAGAACTGAGCTGAGGACGTTCTTCTTCGACTACTTCTTGTTACCGGCTGCTCACCGCTTAGGAGTATTACCGCCACCCAGTGGCGGAACTAGAGTTTTATACATGGGGTGGCCAGGGGGTGGCCACTGCTATTTTTGGGGGTACACACACACAGTGGAAGTAAATGGGTCACTCTGTTTGTAATAAGTGTTGAACATCCAAAATATTAGCAGAAAACAAAGCTGAAGCACCAAGGAGATAAGATACAGTAGCATGTGTCTGTTTTGAACTGCTATGTTTATTTACAAAAAAAAAAAAAAAAAAAAATCACATTTACAAACTTTTTTTTAATTAGATACAGCAGTCATCAAGCAGACATCTACTTCAAAATTTAAACAAATTTTAGTGCCCATCAATTAAAACAACACAATTCTGCGGTTCTGATGAAGAAACGGAGAAAAATGCCTTTAAAGTTTTTTTTATACCAGCCAGTCAAACATGTTATGTGTAGATTATGTGGTAATGCATCTCCGAAACAGGACATAATTTAACCCAGATATTTTTTCACAAGACAGACATGTCATAAAGCCCATTACAAGTCTTAACTCATTTTTGACCAAATATCATATGTAATTTTCGTTACTGTGCTTTGCCTTTGTAGGGCAGTGTGTGCAGGGCTGCCAACTCTCACGCATTGAGTGTGAGACAATTCTCACGCTACACCCCCGATTTCTCATGCTAATGTGTCAAGCCGGTCACTAAAATACCTGAAAAGATGAGTTTATCTATAGTTCCACCCGTTGAGCCACTCGTGATCGACTAGTTTTACCGCAAATTAGTTAATTAAAATATCCTCTAATCTAGAGCGAACGTGCATACGAGACAGATGTTGAGCTCCTAACGGCGCGGACGCAAAGCCAGGACTGGAGCCAAAGCCCGTTCCTCTCTGCACTCTAAGCGTTCTGTTATCACTCCGCCTCCATCCACTACGGGTTTTCCAGTCTCACGCACAGGAAAAATGGACGATTTTAAAAGATAATCTTGTTTTATTTTTTATGTAAAAAACTGCTCCGTGTCCGATTTTAAAAGATAAGTTAATCTTATTTTTTCTTTTTATGTATCACAAACGTCTGAATTTATAATACTCAATGTAATGACTTGGAAAGTATTCTAGCACTACACGTTTAATTCATTTTCCAGCTGCCTTTTTGCACCCAGGTAAAAAGAACAATTATAGACGAATCCGGCGAAACTACCGGAAGTAAGCGGGCGCCATTACTGAGCTGTTGCTGGGTAGCGTTGCGCCATTGCCTTCTATTGTTTTAGTTGCAACTTGTGTCCACTGGAATAAACAGCTCGCGATTTACGACTGTCACTAACGTTACAACGTTAGCCCTTGTATAATGTCGAGTGGGTAAACAGTTTCCGTTATAAATTGTTTCAATGGTGGCAGTAAAATTTCAATTTTGAAGAGAAAACATTGTGAATACCCCGGGTCGACTGCCCCTGTCTGGTGCCGTACGGTTTACACAGATTTCCTGGGCGAGTACAAGACGCGGACATTCGCGTATAATAACAATTATTTAATGACATAAGTAAAAAAATATAATAAATGTGTGATATAGTGATCAGCAAAATCTCCTCTCTTGTTATTTTTTCTATTCAATTTACATGCTATGGTCATTAAATGGCTTTCCTGAGCTGAATGTAACGTTATGTGACATAATTGTTCTCCTGCTGTTATATTGACCTCTTTCCATGGTTTAAAAACAGTAGTTGGTCGATAT